TGTTATTTTCTACAACTTGTGTGTGTGAATAGTTTTTCCTGCAATGAATTTAGTAAAAATTAAAATGAGAAACCGGCTAACAGACTCACCTCGAAACTACTGTAATTTAAAACTAGCAGTGACTAATATTTAATCAAATATTTTTTATACATTACGTTTACATCAGTTCTAGAAGCTAAATTAAGTATACCTATTCTATTTTATAATTATATATGAATAAATAATTGTGATTTACCGGCATTTCCTCCCCTCTTTTATCTTGTACATGGCCGGCGTTAGTTCAAAAGTTTTGAAATGCAGCCCTTACACAGAAAAAGGTTGCCCATCCCTGGTCTAAGTGGAGAGGGGGAGGGAGGTGTGAAATACATACTAAGTTTAGATAGAAAAGAAAAGCCACAATTTAATTTAAAACACGAAGAAAAGGTATTTACATTTTAAACAGAAGAAAAATTGAAACTCAACGTTGTCACTTTCGGGGACCACCACTTCACTCTACTTCTCTCTACTGTGTCCCAACCTACTCTCTCTGTCCCTTCTTTTTTTTCGGTTTTACGACCCTTTGTCTACATTTCTTATTCCCCTTTTACAACTGTACGCAAATGTATTGCACATGGACCGACAAAACCACATCTGAGGGAGAACGAGGAGGTCCGATATCACTACAGTTGCGTTTGCACGTTACGTTCACGCGTTGCGTTTGGTTACAACTTACAAGTGTAACATATTAAGTCAAGACATCGCAAGCGATCGACCAAAATTGGTTTTGCGATCGACTTGTTGGCCACCCCTGGCTATATACTCACTATCATGGAACATGATAAAATGATTCTGAAATGGCTCAATGAGGAGTCTGGGGAAGAAAATGTAGGCTCCTTCATCACAGACAATGAGAGTGAGGATCTCCATATGAAAATCCAGGAAGTGTTGAGAAAGAAGCCAGATCCTTCACAGGCAACATCAGTAGGAAGAGAAAAGTGTGCATATTGCCCAAAAAAATAATAGGAAAACAGCATCCAGGTGTATAACATTTACTGCACTGATCTGTAGATACCAAATAATAACAATCTGCAAACAGTACCAGGCTATTCAAGTTCTGAATCTAAATAGATTCAGAACTTGAATAGTTCAGATATCATACAGTGGTACCTCGGTATATGTCTTCTTTAGAATATGTCCAATTCAGAATACGTCCTGTTTGGAGGAAACAAATTTTGATCGGTATACGACTTACCGGGTAATTCAATTATACGCGCCATCTATGAACAAGTAACACTATCGGTGTACTAGACCAGACTAGACATTTGCAGTGCCATGGTTTATAACTTTGTTAAATTTCTTCTGATTTTAAATTTTAAGTAAAATTTTATTATTTTTATTAATCATGAATTGCAAAAAGGCAAATGAAAAGCAACAGAAAACTAAAAAAATGACTAGAATCACNCATATTGCCCAAAAAAATAATAGGAAAACAGCATCCAGGTGTATAACATTTACTGCACTGATCTGTAGATACCAAATAATAACAATCTGCAAACAGTACCAGGCTATTCAAGTTCTGAATCTAAATAGATTCAGAACTTGAATAGTTCAGATATCATACAGTGGTACCTCGGTATATGTCTTCTTTAGAATATGTCCAATTCAGAATACGTCCTGTTTGGAGGAAACAAATTTTGATCGGTATATGACTTACCGGGTAATTCAATTATACGCGCCATCTATGAACAAGTAACACTATCGGTGTACTAGACCAGACTAGACATTTGCAGTGCCATGGTTTATAACTTTGTTAAATTTCTTCTGATTTTAAATTTTAAGTAAAATTTTATTATTTTTATTAATCATGAATTGCAAAAAGGCAAATGAAAAGCAACAGAAAACTAAAAAAAATTACTAGAATTACAATGAAAAAAAGTGTGTGTTGAGAAATATGAAGGTGGCATGCGTGTTTGAGATTTAACTGTTGCATACCGTATTCCAAGAACGACAATATCGACAATCGTGAAAAATAAAGACATTATTAAATCTGCTAATGTTGCAAAAGGAGTTAAATCAATTTCTAAACAGAAATCAAAGACATTAGATCATGTTGAGAAATTGCTTTTGCTTTGATAACTGAAAAACAGTGTGCTGGTGACATCATATCAGAAGCAATCATTTGTGAGAAAGCTAAAAAGATACATGCTGATCTCATGAAAAATCAAGCAGGAACTAGCCAGGAAAGCAAGGTGTTTAATTAAATTAATTAAAGCCAGCCATTTTTTTTACACGCGAACGGATTAATCATTTTTACATTACTTCTTATGGGAAACGTTGGTTTGGTATACGTCCTATTCGGTATAAGTCCAAACATCAGGAACAGATTAAGGTCGTATACTGAGGTTCCACTGTACGAGGGATGTTCAAAAAGTATTGGACCTTTATTTTTCCCGCGTAAACCAATGATGCACGGGAGGTCTCTTTCAGTGGAGTTGTGGAGGGGAGTCATGCACAGTCCTGAATTTTTTCCCGCCTGCAGGAAGCATCAGTCGCTGGCAGTCGGCCTATGAGTGAGGACGTAGTGAGCGCTCATCAGATCCCACTAAGTTGGAAAATGACTGAACAATGTGAGCAGCGATATTGCATCAAATTTTGCCAAAAGCTTAGTATACCCAAGTGGAAACCATTCGCAAAATTCAGCAGGCTTTTGGGGACGATCCTCGAGGCCAAAAAAAGCGCAGCAGGTCTGTAGCAATGTAAAGGTCATGTTGACAGTTTTTTTCGACTCCCATGGGGTGGTGTATCCTGAGTACACATCACAAGGCCAAACCATCACAAAGGAGTACTACCAGGAGGTCCTTCGTCGTCTTTGTGATGCTGTGCGACGCAAACAACTGGATCTGTGGTCAACCAAAACTTGGCAGTTCCATCATGATAACACACCCACCCATTCTGCACATCTGATTTGGACTTTTGTCACCAAACACGACATTCCTGTGGTCCATCACACTCTGTACTCTCACGACATGGCTCCGTGTGACTTTTGGCTATTTTCCAAGCTGAAAATGCCGCTAAAAGGAACCCAATTTTAGTCAAGAGAAGACATCATGCAGAATGCGACAGACCGGCTAATGGCCATTCCAAAAGATGCATATCAGCAGTGTTTCCAGCAATGGCAGGAGCGCTGGGAGAAGTGTAAACATTACCAAGGAGACTACTTTGAAGGGAATTAGGGTTTTGTACCTCAAAATCAATAAATGTATTTTTGCCAACCAAAGGTCCGATACTTTTTGAACACCCCTCGTATTTTTGTTTTTATATTGAAATTACTTTTAATGTATTCTAACTGAAGTGAAGTAAGGAAGGTAAACATTAGAATGTGTATTATTCATAACAAAATATAACTTCCTGATTTGAGTAAAATTTCTGAAGACAAATCAAGAATAAAAAAAATATGTAGAATGAGTGTGGCACTCACTCTCAAGGAACAGTGTAACAAATCCAACCACAAGTAGTGCCAGGTCAATAATCTTATAGAAAGATGGCTGGAAAAAACTTGAGAATGAATACAGCATCTAAATCAAACTTATGAAAGACCTCAAAGACCGAGTAAGTTCTTTATATGAGGTGATTTTTTTTAACTCTGCCCTGTGGGCATTAAGAGGACCTCTTAGCAACCCCATTATGGGTTTGGCAATGGTGAGGAACATATCCAGACAGACTATCACATGAAAAACTCTTTAGACTTTTTCGACCCATCCAGATTCGATCCCAGGTCCCTCAGAGCAGTAGGCTGCCACCTTATGAGATGATCTAGAAAGATAATATAATAACTCCTCCTCAGCAGAAAATTTAATAATCGGTCTGAGGAAACAAGTAATTTGGACATTGAATGAAAATGCAAGAAGTAACAGTATTCAGCATAATCTTGTTCTATTCAGTCATCATCTTATGGGATCAATGCTAAATATTTTGTTGCTAGTAACAACTTGGGTGATAAACTTGATCAGAATTTACTGGTAACACAATCCAATTTATTTTATCCAACTTATTCATTTGTATTTGACTTATTACAACTGCTTATGCTGTCCTAATACTTGTAATTACCACAGTACTACTACTACTAAATAGACAAACACATTACTATAAAGTAAATAAATACCAATGTTTATTAAAACCAACTACATTTATTTGTTTATTAACACTTGTAATTAAGATATTAAGTAAAAAATATAACTCAATTTAGAGAAGAGACAAGCCCTACTCCCTCTCATTGAAAATAATGTAATTTATAATTTCCAATCTTTAATTTAGGCCAATTATTTTGATTACTAAATGAAGAAAGAATGTGTTAAGTTTATCAGCATAATTAGATATTTGCTTTTTTTTATATTGCTATCAACTTATCAATAACAATAATAGGATAAATATAAGACAATTTTAAATTGACAACACTAATTATAAATTATGAAGGAATTAAATTTATTTCTAAGTGAAATTAATTCCTCCAGTCATCATGTTAATTTGTCATTCAAAATATTAAATTATTTTCTGAAGTTAAGATGAACTATTTACCTTAATTTTAATAGCTTGTATTAAATATTCATCTTAAGGCCAATTGCAACCTCATAGAAAATTTGTAGAAAAAGTCATTAATTTGATTTTCAAAATTTGGAACCATATATTAACAGAAGAATTAAATAGGACTCTAACACACACAACTATTTCGTTTTATCTGCTTCCATTTTCAAAAATTTTTGGAAAAGGATTTTCTCCATAGAAAAAATTAAATTAACATTGCCATCTGCTGGAGATAGATTGATTATGCATAATCAAACAGGTTACAGCCTTAAGATGAACATTTTATTAAATGTTCATCTTAATGACTTATGAAATTATATCTTGATTTAAATATCAGAGAACTTTAATGTCAAAACACTAGATTTTCATAGTCATGTCATTCAAATGATTCATTAAAATATCGTATGTACTGTACCTTACTAAAAAAAGAAATACTAAACTCTGATAAAAGCAAATGTTTATTGATTATTTAATGGACACTTCAGTAATTTCTATTAATTACAAATATTAAATTGAAATGACATAAAAATAAAAAAAATTGTGGCGACTTAGTGTCTCCTATGGTCGAGGGATCGTTCTCTTGGGCGACCGTGTTTCCTGAAAATAAAAACACTTTTGTTGAATTCTAATTAATATTGATATTGAATAAGAATTTCTAAAAATTAAAATAACAGTAGTTCAACATTTCAAATCAAGAAAGTCACTTTTATAATCACTTTTAGTATAGGGCAGTACAATTAAACCAAATTGTATATTCAACATTTTTTTGCTATGCAATGCTCATTCACATCAACTAATCTAATTGTTTCTATTTATTTAATGCATTAACAATGTTCTTTATACTTTTATACTCTTCATTTGTCACTTAAAAAATATCAAGAAAAAAAATTTAGACTGTTGATAAGATGGTAAATTTTAGTATTTTTTTTTTTACTTCTTAATTTTTACTTCTAAATATAATATATATATATATAATTGTAATCCTGAAGCATGATCATAATCAGATTAAGAAGTAAAAAAAAAATACAATTTGCCATCTAATATAATCAGAATAAAGTATAGAACTGCAGCTCACATGCATTTTGCAAAACCTATCATATATATATATATATATATAACACAGTACCACAGTTCTGTACTGCAATTTTACTATATAATATAATATAAAACAAATATTGAATTTTTTTAAACACATTTTCACAAAATTGTGGAAATAAAATTGTAAAAATAATAATAAAAAGCAGAAATTAACACTTTCAGCAAGAGCCACATTTGCCCATGTCTAATATGTATATAATGGTATGTATCTTTTCTATTGATTATATATTAGTTTTAAAAATTTAATTATGAGAATGAGACTAGAATTCTTAAAATTTAATTATTATTTTTCTAACATTACTAAAATGTTGGTGAATGTGATTTGTCAATATTTAATTTAACTGATCACAACCAAACTGATGATGTAGTTAAACTTTGATTTTAACTCACTCACATGATAGTAACTAACATAGTTGTATTTAAACAGTATGAATAATATATTGGCTTATTATATATAAAATTGTAAATATAATTTCTATATGAATGTTGTATTACTCATAACTTTGGCCTTTGTCAGATGTATTCAATTTAATTATTGAATATTTAAGTTTTAATGAGAAGTTCCATAGACAAAGAACATTGTTAAGCCTCTAAATTTAGATGTGGACAAATTACTAATTAAAGTCCTAATATAATAATTATATCAAACATACAAATGGTACAAATTCAAAAATGCTGGTATGCTTAGCATAATAATTGATAGCATGTTCAAAATATAACATTAGAGTTAGGTATATTTATACTAAAATTTAATTGTTAAATTTTACTATTTCATAATTTCAGTATAACACAATCAGTAAAATGCAACAAAATTTCAATTTAACAGAAGTAAAATATCAAAGAATTAAAATACTATTTTATTTTAAAATTAAAACACTGAATTTCTGTTGAGAGTATAGATCTAACCATTAATTTTAACTATTATCATATTGCAATTGTGTCATTGTTACATAATATCCAATTTACATGTGACAGAGAGGATTTACTATTTTGTACTACACCAAACCATATGTATTAAACTTAACTCAATATGATGGAATTCATAAAAACAAATTTAAACAGAAATAAAAATTGAGCTTCAATAAAGGATTTCATTAAAACAAGACCCTCAGCATCTTTAGTAAAATAATTAGATTGAAGAAGTTGAAAACCTTACATCAGTTCACAGTTACTAACTAAAAAGGAGGAAAATTGTTTATGATCAAGCCATAAAAAATTTGGATAAAAATCAAATTTTAATTTCTTTTTTACTGATTAATAAAAAATGGGACCTTGAAAGCTAGCCTCAATTTATAGTTTTAATTTTACATAGAACCATGTAAATTTGAGTGTTAAGCGCACAAATTTTCTAGCCTAAATTTTCCTTTGTGATTTCACAATCTGACACCAAATTTTGTATCTTAACGATAAACATAATATTTCAATACCTACAGCAAAATCGTGTAAACCAGAATTGAATGGAGCTGAAATATTTTTCTGTTTTTGCAAGTTTCTGTTTTGAACAATTTTAGTATTGTTTTTTAACCTCTAAACTAAACCAGATAAATGACATAGTTATGTAAAGGTAATTTTACTATAAAAAATGAACATAAGTAAAATAATTTATTATTAGGCTTAATCCAAACTGATTTTAACTACAGTGGGTGATCAGTTAATGAACATAATCTGTTCCAAGACTTTGTTCGCTATCTGAATTGTTTGTTAACCGATTATCAATTTACCATAGGTTTCTATGGGAATTTGATTAATTCATTCTGGAGACACCAAAAAATTAAAAATATACACTTTCTTACTATGTTTATTTATGTGTAATAATAAATATATATATATACACAGTCTTGCATTTTTATTAGTCATGTTTTTTCATTTGTAGGGGTTAAAGAATCTGTCTAATATCGATTGATTTTCTGTCTTCTTCATGATTTTTCAGAAGTAATTAATAGCATTGTCATTGTAGAGATCCCNTTACTATGTTTATTTATATGTAATAATAAATATATATATATACACAGTCTTGCATTTTTATTAGTCATGTTTTTTCATTTGTAGGGGTTAAAGAATCTGTCTAATATCGATTGCTTTTCTCTCTTCTTCGGGATTTTTCAGGAATAATTAATAGCATTGTAAATGTAGAGATCCCTAAGCCTATTAACCTCAATCTGGTTTGGATGCCATTCTAACACCATTGTTCTGACATCTTCCCACTTCTTCAAAAGTACTTTAATAGCAGATATCGGCATTAATTCTCTTTTTCAAAAGAAAACATATTTTTGAGTGTTCTTGGTGTTCTTCATTCAAGAGTTCTTGACATTCTTCTGTCGTCAGATCTGTTTCAGGTTCAATTATGAGCTCTTCAATGTTCTTTATTTCTCAGATGTGATTTTTGTTACTTAATCTGCTTGAATCTTCTTGATTACATGGTATCTTTCTTAGATAAGATTCAACTGCAGCCTATTGCAGACCTGTTCAAGCCATACTGCCCAGCAACATCAGACATCTTCTGCCCACTCTTTATCTTTGCTATTATACCTTTCAAAAATAAAAACAGACACAAAACAAGTGCCTGCCCGACAGTCTCACAAATACTATAAAAGAATTGTTTCTGTCAGAAAAATAAAAGGCTGGAATTACAAGGGAGAGTTTCAAAATTCGGAGGAATACTATCCAATCAGTATATACCAGATTGAGCATCAATGTCAATGTCTCCCACACTATGAAAAGTTTCAAATTGTTACCTGAAGACAAGGGAAGACCAATCAGTATTCATTTTTTATGTTGCTTCTTGTGTTTATTCTGTGAGGTGTTCATTGTCCGAACATAAAAATCTTTCACAAAAGTGTTCATTATCCAATTTGTTTGTTAACCGATCACCCACTGTAATAATGGGAGTATTTAAATGCAAGAATTATGAGCTATTTGACTGCAATAAGTTCTTGCTGTTTCCATGAACAATTCAATATCAAAAACTAGTGCTTTGTTCTGATGTCAAAAATTCTGATCGCATTACAGTAATACAGAGATCAATTTATTCTGTGATCTGACTTTGAAGACTTTTAATAACCCTAACTGATAGTTGGTAATTACAGACTGAAGTTAACAATGTTAAATCAACTTGTTTTTGAATACTTTGTACTAGTTAGTTTCTAAATTCTAAATACAAAGCAAATTGACAATGATGTATTAGCTTATTCTCATTGTTTACATGAATTACATTCACTGCTTGTTTTTGAGAACTTGGTTCTCAAACTCAATTCTGCTTCTGGTTAATTCCAAAGACCTAGATTCACATGTGCCCTTGTCATTATACCTGTTGTTTACTCTGACAAAGTTTGAAATCTTTCTTAAAATACAGTTTGTCACACTTTGCAATGACTTATACCTAGAGTTTTTACTTAATTGCCTAAGAGTGAAATTTTAATTTTCCATCTTATCCAGGTTATGTTATGCTCTTCATATTCAAAAATCTATTGTTTCCACATATGATGGATTTCCAGCTTATAGGAAAATTTAAAATAGAAAAATCACTCCATTCAGAAGAACTTTTCTATTTTAGATGGTGTTTACTGTATTAGAATTGTTATAGAATTATAAATATCATTATATTACAAAACTTCAAAAATGCAAGAAATTTGTTACTGTAATAAGAAAACATTCAGTTTTAAATTTTAACTAATATACAATGTTGAATTTAATATTTATAATATTTAAATGACTTAAATTCTTATTGTAAAATGTGATAAAGTTAACATTCCAGTAATGCAACATTTTAAAAAATATTTTTATCATCAATTCTCTTAAAACACTTGTGAGGAATGTTCAAACTTCTTAATTAAAATGTTTTTATGATGATTTATTTCATTATGTAGTTTACTAATACTAAAATATATTAAATAAATAAATAAAATATAATACCTTTTAACTGGTCCTTTAACAAAACTCCAATCTACACTTATTGTATTACCAAGAATTTCTGACCCATTTAAATTTTCAATGGCAGCTTGTGCTTCTTTGAAAGTCTCATATTCAACTAAAGCATAACCCTATATAGAAAAATTTTTAACAAATATTATGATTAAGAAGAATTAACTAAATATCAGAAAGATAGAATAAAATTGATTTTAACTGGAGAAAAAAAAATTTCAAAATATACTAAATGAAAATTGGCATTTCATTTGTTTGAATAGCAAAATCTTGGTTGCTACAAATTTGCAACTAACTTACTATTCTTAACAAATATTAGAGAAAATACAAGGAAAAGATACATTTGAAATTTGTCTTTCATAATTTGCAACATGTTGAAATTAAAAGTGTGCTATCACAAAATTTTAGGAATTTTGCTATCAATTATGGAAGAGATTTGAGATTTTCTCATGGTATAAAAATAAATTTTAAGAAAATTTGAAGCCAAAACTTATAGGAGTTTAAAAATCAACTGATAACAAACCTAAGAAATAGAGACCAGTTTTATAATAATTTTCATTCATAGAATCAGTTTTCTAATTATGTCTTTATTTATTCCTTTGCAAAAAGCATGTTTTGGACTAAAATAAGCAGCCAAGATAATTGCAAAAAATTGGTAAAAAATGTAAAGTGACTGAATTTTTTATTAATTATAACTCTATAAAATAATTCTAAAACTATGTCTAGTACATCAAATTAAATAACAATACAATTTAACAACAATTTAAATACAATTAAAGCAAATAATACATTACAATAATTTTTATGCCTCTTTTAGAGAAATATAAACATAATAAATTTAGATTTATATGTATTATTTGAAAGCAAAGAATATTGTGTATTATATTTTTTCAAGAAAAGCAAACTGGATAAAATATAAATAATTTAAAACAATAATCTTATAATCCAGCAGTATATTTATAACAAATGTTTTCAGCCATCTTAAATGACAGCTAAAGCTAGGAGGGACTAAAAATCATAACTACAATTTTTACTGCCTAGAAGACCTAGTCTTAATGATAACTGAAAATATTTTTACAATAATAATAATAATAATAATAATAATAATAATAATAAATTCACATTCCACAGACAGTATTGGAAAACAACACGCACATAATGTACTACGACAGAGCCATAATCACAGATAAAACAATTTATCACAACAGACCAGACATCACACTCATTGACAAACACAATAAAATCACATACATTATAGACATAGCCATTCCAAACACTCACAATGTACAAAACACATGCACTGAAAAAATTAGCAAGTACACAGAACT